GGGCTAGAAAGTGTCCGCTAGGTCTAGTAAGTTCCGAATGGAGGGATTAGGTTTACTTTTTTTAGTGTTCATAACACAGGGAAAAGAGATCAATCCCATAACTATACGTTCAGAAAATAATAATCAGAAAATGACGGAAGTTTTGAAATAGAGACACTTCTTAAACAGAACGTTTTTTAAGTCATTTGAAACAATCCATCAGTCACATAAAAAAGTAAATCTTGCAAACTTCAACAAAAGTCAGCAGCGGTGTTTCCTCGGTGCTCTAGCCTATCAGGCACGTGAGAAAACAATTTAAAACATATTTCGCATAAAAATGAAACTTTTGGAATACGTTGGCTGGTAGCGCTGAACGCGTGATACGTCATATTTTTGTCATCACCTACCTGCATGCTTGGCTGCCCCACATATCATAACACGCAATTAAAAGGGGAACTCAAGTTTCTATCTGTGTAAACATCAAAAACGTATTTAGACAATCTGTTTCAAAGAAGTTTTCCAGGAAGCTCTATAAGCATGGGCCGTATACGTTAATATAGGAAAATGTAGAGAAAAAAACAAAAACGAGTGCTTCCTTCTACATTGGGTAAGGTTCAGATCTGATCGTAAGCCATACGCAAACGGGAGGCATGGAACAAAGTAAACCCTTAATGTAACAATTTAATATTTAGAACACACACCATCACCTCACTCTCACAAACCAAAACAATACCCCCCCCCCCATAATCAAAGGAAAATGAAATGACACGTACAATTAAGGCAAAACCTCAAGCAAAGTAAACAGAAGCCACAAAACCGCTATCACACAACGCTACAAGGGGGAGCGGACACACAACGAAAACAATCATCGACAATCAACAGACCAAACAGAAAAAAACCCATAATCAACCTGAAAGCCATAGCAATGGCTGCTAGTTCTATATTTACAGGAAAGCGTTCAGAGTTTGGTATACCATTTTTCCCAATTCTGATGAAGACTAGGCTTGTGTCACTTTGGTGGGAGCCTAAACTGGGGAAGGAGAGAGAGAGAGAGA